AATCTCTTTTGCTCTCTGCAGGTTGCATTTTTCAATCAAATTAATTAGTTTATTCATAGAGAAGAAAATCTTCTGTTGTCCCTACACCAGTTGTCTTCTTGTACTTCCACAGTTGGAAGTTTTGTCTTTTTCCTCTCTCTCCCTCACCTCCTACTACCCTTAGGGTATTATGCTACATAAAACGGAAACAAAACAAAAATCATTTAGCTTCTTTTTAACTTAGGATTTCTAACTGAAGAATGTCAGCAGACATTGGGTTGTTTTCATTGTTTTGTTTTGATTAATGAAACCAGTACCGCTTAACTCTCTTATTTCCATGTGATAGGCATGCTTAGAGATTTGTGACTAACCAATATCAGCATAGTGATTCTACTTCATAGCATGTTTTAACAAACTTTTTCAGTGTATTAGTTTTCACTGCATCATTAATTTAAATGCATGGGTACCAGAATTGGGGAGGAAAGAAAAAAGGAAGGAAAGAATCAAATGAGAGTGGAGTTAAAAAAAAAGTGGAAGAAAGGAAGGAAAACCATTAATATTTTTATGTTTTAACTGAATTCTTTGTGTGCATATTTTAAATGTCTTCATTGTGAAAAAAGAATTTCAAATGCAATTTTCATCATTCTGATCATGCAGAAAAAATTCTCAAATATACTCTTTGAAAAAAATGAATGAGGTAATTTGAGTTGGATTATATATATGGAATATTATATATATATATATATATATATAGAGAGAGAGAGAGAGAGAGAGAGAGAATGCAAATTGGTATGTTATGGTTAAAGTACTTAACCTATGAAAAAACATGTTATTAACCTATGGAAAAACATGTTATTTTTAACATAGTTTTTAACCTATGGAAAAACATGTTATTTTTAAGTATGATCTTTCTTTACATTTTATAATAATTTTGCATTCACAAACTACTTTTTAAAACTATATCTCAACCAGCATCTTTTATTGGTATATTAGTCTCACAGACCTGTCATTGTTGTATAAATCAGTTGAAACCAAGGATCACAGAGGAGAAGTATATTGCCCCCGTTCACATTTTAAAAATGTTTGAGAAAGTGAGAGCTTCTCCTTTAAATAAACTGGTGAAGATTTTAGACACAGTGAAAATGAGAGAATGTTATTGCTCATTTCTAAAAATCTTATTATTTTGAATAATTATTGTTTATAAGACAAATAGCAGTTCCTAGATGTATAAAAGTAGTGCCTGTAAGAACAAAGCAAGGATTACTATTTCCAAAGCAAAAATCATTTTAACTGTTAAAAAGGGAAAAAATGAACTAAAAATAAATACAAAGAAAAGACTAAACACAACTACTATCTTGTTTAAAACATTAAAATCTGGCATATTGTAATGCACTAATAACTGTCCTCCCTTTATTCCATGGCTTAGCTAATATGCCTTTTTTTTTTTTTTTTTCTTTTTTTTTTTTTTTTAGTTTTAGGTGGACACAATACCTTTTTATTTTTTTATGTTGTGCTGAGGATCAAACCCAGGGCCTCACACATGCGAGAAGAACACTACACGGCTGAGCCCCAGCCCTAGCCCCTAATATGCCTTCTTGATAGGTCTCCTACTTAAAGCCTTCTATGGCTTTTTCTTCAACTCAATCTAGAACTCAATGCCCTTATCTTTTACCTTTACTGAGGTTGGCATATATTATCAGGTTCCTACTTGTATTTCAATCATATATCATGCCTTATCTCTCTAAGCTTCCCTCCTGCAACTCTTCAGTCCCATAGGCCTTTTGATCCCTCCACCAAGCTGACCTATCCCTCTTTTATGGCCTTTGGACTGGTTATTCCTACTGCCTGAAATACTCTTCATCCTTATCTGCAAATGCTGATTTCTTCCAGTCATTCAAATCTCAAGCTAAATGATACTAACATTGAAAGTCCTTCCTGGATCACAAAGTTGAAAAGTAGCCCCTCAACCACTCTAACATACTACCTTTCAGTCTCTTTAAAATCTATATTCCTATTTGCTATTTTTCTTGTTTGTGGTCTTTTTATTATTGGCTGTCCGTGACTCCAGAATATAAGCTCCATGAGATCTGGGACTTTACCTCTTATGATTACTATTGTGTTTTCAGTGCCTTGAGTTGTATCATAACTCAATGTCTTCCAATAATGTTATTAATATACATATATATATATACATTATATATACATTAATATATATGTACATTAATATGCATATATATCACATATATATCACAATGAATATATATCAAACAATTTGTTGTTAGTAAATATATTGATAGACAAAATTAACAAATGTTGAATATAAATATTTTTAAATTTTAATAGCAAACTTATCTTTATTTTAAATTTTCTTTTTTACTTTTGTTGTATCAATTTAAGGACTTTTGCATGGTTTCAGTTATACCTAATATGCTTAGAGAAAACATAATTATCATTCCTCTCATCCCTAAACCTAGTATTAGGCAGAGATAATGACTTCTGACTTGTCTATCCACATCCTTTCTTTGGAAGAGAGAGATAAGAAGTATAGACTAATGCATTTTTGGTTATTAGCAATTTACTACACTAAATCAATAATATGTTTGGAAATACTATGTAATGCTCCAAACTGAAGTTAGTCATAAGTATAATAATTATGATAGAAAAAACTTGCTGATATTAACTTAAAGCATTAAATAAAATCTAGAATTAATATTTTTGAAGGTCAATGTCCTTCGTTCCTAATCAGATTTTTGTTTCCTCCCAAAATACTGTCAAAAATAAGGCCCAGCAAAATTTGCATAATGCCTTATCTCATTTAATAGAATTTAATAGGTTTTATGCATGAACATGCACAAAGTTAGCACAAGTGGCATCAAATTCTCAGTTATCCACAAACATTCGTGTTTCTCAATTTGCTTTGTTTAAATAAAATTTTGTGTATGTGTATTCAAAGTAATTATCTAGAAGATACTATGTTTTACTAGGGGTTCCTTATTAGTGTCTCAATTTTAATACTCTTAAGTTGTTTTCATGAAAGCTATGATGACTAAAAGGTTGCTCTTGCATTCCTGATGATCATTCTAAAAATCTTAACACAAAAAAGTACCCCAATTTTTCCTGTGATCAAAGGTATTTCTATGCTGGACTTATTTAAGTAGTACTATTGCCACTTTAGGATTTTTATCCTCCATTGTGATGTGGGTGAGAAAATCACATACACATTTTGCATGTATGAACATTGGGTATCATCTAATGATAGATGTCCCTTTAACAAGGGAATTTTTTGAAATAATTTTTTTAAATGTTATAATAATAGAAGACGTGGAATTTCAATTCCAGTTGGAATTATCTTTTTCTCGCAACTCATTCTCACACTGCAATTAATTAATTGATTAGTATGAATAATTAATACCATGTTGTTAGTCCTAATGAAAAAAAGGGAGCACAGGAATAATGGGAAAATGTATTTAGTTTCCTGAAGAATATTGAAAAATGAAGTTCTCAAAAGAGAACACTGAAGTATCAGTATGGGAAGGTCAGTAAAAGAGGAGATTGAATTTTTAACTTTTTTTTTTCCCTGAGGTTACTCTAGTTAAGTCACATAGATCATTGCAAAAAAGAAGTTCTAGCTTGTAGACAGTTGGCATATGACCACAAGTAGGTGGTTCTGTATCTTATGATTTATGATGATAAATGAGTGAAGTAAATAAATTGACCTGTGGGTATTAGGGGGAGGCAAACTCAATACTTATAACTATTATAATTCTCACCTCCAAGGTTAGTTGCAATCATTTCAGCAAGGAAAACATGTCAATATGCATAGACTAATATCTCTTAGCTTGGAATATTGATATAGTTTTGAAAATTCTTTCTTAAATAGGCCTTACTCTTCTTTCAAAAAGACATGAGCTTAAAAATGTGTTTTTCCCCTCCTTATTGTCATACTATAATTTTGTACCAGAATAGCAATCCTCCCAGCATATCTAATGAGTTTCTTTAGTCCTATTTTAAAGCTTTTAATCTTTATAAATAATAGCTAAGTAAACTTAAGGCACTTGGACAATTTTGTTAGCTTAATGTATTCAAATCCACAGTTGGCACTTCATTTCTTTTCATTTAAAAATAAATCTATCTTGTCTCGATAGGCTCTACATGAATACACACACCTAACAATATAAATCAAAGCAACACATCCAGAATGATGAAATCTGCTTTTTACCTTTACAAGAAATATGCTATTTTCAGAAAGGTCTCAAAAACTTTTTATTAAGTCAATATAAAATCTCAAAATAATTCATAGTCATACTGTATTTGAATAAGGATTTCTAAATGCAGTTGAGAAACTTTTTTTTTTAATTTCAAGAGGATTTCCATAAACAGATGAGTAACTCTTTAATATCTTCATGGGCTTTTCCTTCAGAAGAGAAGTTTCCTGTCAACTGTAGCTAATAGGTGATTTTATGTACATGGATTCCTGTGTATGCTTCTGTGCCTTCTACATTCATTATGACAAAATGTTGGATATTCTTAAAGCATAGTTCTATAGATAACAGTCTACCTATGTGATATCACCACTTCTGTTGCAAAACTGAAACCCATAGTTACTGACATGACAATCCAACTATAATGTCTCATGAAGAAAAGCCACAAGCCTTAAAAACAAACTGAGAATCCAGCCTAAGCTACCAAGCTGCATCAAAATAATAGGAAGATTCTAAACCTTGCTCTTTTTATTTAGTTTTTTCACAGTATATTGATAGACCTTTATTTTATTCATTTATATGCAGTGCTGAGAATCAAACCCAGTGCCTCACACCTGCTTGGCAAGTGCTCTACCACTGAGCCACAACTCCAGCCTGCTCTTTTTATTTTGAGATGGGGGTCTCACCAAGTTGCCCTGGCTGGCCTTGAACTCATGATCTTCCTGCCTCAATCTTCCAGGTAGCAGGGATTACAGACATGTGCCATGTTATCTGGATAAATTTGCTATTTTTGTTAGTTAAATATAAATGAAGACTTACTTGCTTTGTTTTTCCATGCTAGCTACCCTGAGGCATTCCCATCTTGAATTTAGAAGATTCATTTGTTCTTGTACTTCAGTTTCTTCATCTTCTGATAATTTTCCTGCTCCAATCAGTTGACTTCCCAACTGTAGAACATTACCAACTCGTCCCTGATGGGATGTCAAATCCATCATATATCCCTGACAAAAAAAGTTAACAATTATAATAAATGCTTTATGTAATTGAATTTGATTTATTTTTTGAGTTTTAAACCTGAAGTTCATTAAATGTATGTTCCCATTAAAAGTATTTCATTTTTTGGGGGGGGGGTACCAGGGATTAAACTGAGGGGCACTCAACCACTAAGCCACATCCCCAGCCCTATTTTATATTTTATTTAGAGACAAAGTCTCACTGAGTTGCTTAGTGCCCCACTTTTGCTGAGGTTGGCTTTGAACTGGCGATCCTCCTGCCTCAGCCTCACAAGCCACTGGGATTACAGGCATGTGCCATGGCACCCGGCAGCATTTCAATCTCAAATGAAACTGTAAACTATTTTTTTAGTTGTCAATGGACTTTATTTTATTTATATGCAATGCTGAGAATTGAACCCAGTAACTCACACATGCTAAGCAAGCACTCTACCCACAATCCCAGCCCTGTAAACCATTTTTTAACTATTTATTTTTTAGTTGTAGTTGGACACAATATTTTATTTCTTTATTTTTGTGCGGTACTGAGGACTGAACCCAGGGCTTTGCACTTGCTAGGCAAGTGCTCTACCACTGAGTCACAATCCCAGCCCTGTAAACATTTTTAATATGAATTAAAATTACTATCTTAGGACACTTTCTATAGAAGCAAACCCTGAGAAAGAGATTTTAGTGCAAGTGATTTATTAAGAAAGAGCTCCCAGAAGGATGTGCAGGAGTACTGAAGAAGCAAGAAAGAGTGTAGGAAGGGGAGGAAGCCAAGCAAGCATATCATCTTGGGCTTTTCCTTCAGAAGAGAAGTTTCCTGAAGTCTCCCTCTGAAGGTAGTACAACCCACTATCACTCAGGTATTCTGAGGTATACTTCAGAATTATGATTTTTGATGATAACTGTTGGAACACACCTATATTTGAACATACCTAAGAATTATCCCTTGTTATTGCCTTGGCATAAGGGGGCTGGGATTTTAAATTCTTACAGGAGTCATTGGCAAACCAGATCTTAACCCCTTGGAGGGTTGTTCTCCAAAAGAGAACTTCAAGTACTGGCTGATGAAATCCTAAGCACATAAACATTATTTGTTTCCATCTCAAAATGAAACTATATTTACAAATTACAATGCTCTTTTATAGAGTAATTGAGAAAAAAGAAAGGGGGACGTGCCATTATAAGTCATGTGCTTGATTTCATAAATCAATGCTTTTTGTTTTACCTCATGAGTATGAAATTGTTCTTTTACTTCTTCTACATCATTCGAAATCTCTCCTTGTGCTTGCAACGTGTCTTCAGCAGAAAGAAGCCATGAGAGTACTTCTTCTAAAGCTGTTTGGTAACTGTCCAGGTTTACTTCAGTCTCCATCAATGAACTGCCAAATGACTTGTCTTCAGAAGCTTCCAAATGCTGAACAATAAAATAAATTGGGTGTTATACAATTAGTGTCTTTGCAGACTGTTCCAGTACATTAAATGATAAATCGAATGAAATATTTAAATGCTAGAAATGTCCACTTGCATTATCAGAGACATGAACAGCAGACACATATAATACCAAGCCTGAATTTTAACATCCTCACAAATACACAAATTCACAAATGACAGCTGGCATCCACACTAAATTAAGATTTTATTAATGCTCTTCTGGATTACTATAAAGAGTGAATTAGTATATGATCTTTGTAGGTTGCCTTTAAAATGCTATGCAATTTCATCCATAGGTTACATTTTCCAGTTCATATTTAAAATATTTTACACATACTTTACTGGGATTATATTTACATGTATTTGGAATTCCTTTAAAGGAAACATTTCTTCCAAGATGACTTTGTATAAGAAAATATTTCCAAAACTTCACATAACAGTAAAAGTATCAATAAGAAAATAACTGTGTGTGTAGAGGAGATGAAGATAAATTTTTAAAAAATATGTTGAAGACTTGTCTAAAACTTCTAACAGGATAAAAAATTTTATAAATTTATTTACAGGAGAAAAATAACTAGCAAGACAATTTCTTACTCTTGCTATGAAATAGGTGCTAACCAATATAATTACTTAGATATTAAATAAATATAAGTAAACTGTTACAAATATGTTTCTTGAAATTTCCACTAGAATCCTAAAGCTAAGTATAAACAGTACAAAGTGCCCATTCTCTAAAGAAAAAGTCTAAGCTCTTACGAAGGAATTGCTAAAAGGTTATCATAAAACTGATCTCACAACCCCTAACCTACTATCTAGCTCAAAGGTGCTTAAGGTGAAGAAAGGATATTGACTGGAGAAATTTTATTAGAAAGGGTTCTTCTGGAGTGGGTGGACTTCTGAATGGCCAAAACTCCCCACCCAAAGCCAAGCAATAGAGACAGGGTCATTTACACAATTCAGCATTCGCCTCTAAACCTGGCGTGCATTGGCTGATATTCAGCTACTATGAGAACAATTCCATGAAGCATCAGAAGATATCTGTTGGGGTGACTTATGTGCTGTTTTAACCTTAGGACAATTATTAAGGGAAAATATTTGAATAAATAGAAAAGTCTACGTAAGTTTTTTCTTTGAGTCAAATGCACTGATGATGGGTTTCTGGGCATCAGAAATCATGACTGTATTTAAGAGTTTCATGATGAAGTAAAGAACATAGGCAAACAGTTCATGGAGTTAAACAGAGTCAATAGAATATTGAAAAAGTGTTTGGAAAGGAGTCTTGTGTGCACCCCAATTACTGCAAGCCAGCACAGGATCCTAACAAGAAGATTTTGAAAATGAAACAAAAGGCAACATAAAATTTCCAGGAGCTATTTGGAAATTTTATGTTCTTGCCCAGAGAAAACCCAACTTTTTAAAAATATATACATTATTTTGTTTATTTATTTTTACATGGTTCTGAAGATCAAACCCAGTGCATCACATGTGCTAGGATAGTGTTCTACCACTGAGCTACAACCCCAACCCTGGAAATTCAACTTTTGATGGTTTTCCCCCTGGTATGACTGTCTTATATTTCTAGGCCACCTCAATGCTGGGCCTTAGCCAACTGAGCTGCCAGCAACAACCTAACTGTGCTCTTATGATAAATTCTCCAGTTTTAAAACCAATATAATTGTAAATTTCCCCCAACTGTTAAATCCTTTAAGATTACAAAGCATAGCGGCAATTGTTAGAGTTATCTTTTCATCAAACAATGTACTCCTTTCCTGTCTATAGAGAACTATTCAAAATAGGCCATCCTGGTAAGTCAAAATCACCTACCTTTAGTATGTCAAATAAAGAATTATTCACATGGGATCCCAAAGGGATCTGTAATGTATTACACATTCCATAGTGTATCCTTTTTTTATCTTGAAATATTAATAGTCAATATCAAAGTAAGCATTAAGGAGAAAAGTTAAAATGGTAGCCTAAAGAGATGTGTCTAGGTGGAATCACGATTGTGAACCTGTGTATTTACCACAGGACCCTGAATTCAAAAGGAACCCAAGTTTGGGCTGGGGCTGTAGATCAGTGGTAGACTACTTGCCTAGCATGTGTGAGGCACTGCGTTTGATCCTTAGCACCACATAAAAATAAGGAAATAAAATAAAGGCATGCTATCCGTCTATAACTACAAAAAAAAAAAAAGGAACCCAAGTTTATTTTATCTGTTGTTGCTATTTTTAACTTTTTAATAATTTTGTCTTAGTACTTGGGTTTTTAAAGAGAAGTCCAATGGGATGAGGAAGCATGGATTTGAGAAGAGGAGATACATGCAATATGTGTGTCTCCTCCTTGTACATATAGTATTTTCAATGCCCCTTGAGTAGAGAAGGCTTATGAACTCACAGTATTTAAGTTTAACAAGACTCAAAGAGAATACAAGATGAGACTGTTATGTCTGTAACTGAGTAAAGGAAGGCACTCAGAGCCCCAGCCCCTGGTAGATCATGCTTCCCATTTGAATCAGACCTTATTTGAAATGCAGAAAGAAGGCAATTCTAATAAAACACAAAAGACCAAGAACCCCTATCATGTCCTTTCCTCTATGTGCTGCCTGCCTGCTTGAGCAACTTACACTGAAATTGATCACACAGAAAGAAAAAGTTAAAGGACCCATAGTTCCTTTTGCATTTTAGTCGTTGCTTACTCAGTAAGCTGAAAAGAGGAAGTATTGCTAGAATATAAGCATTTCAAAAAGTAAAATAAAAACAACTAATTTGTGTGTTTCTACATTCTGGTAAGAATGAATACATATACATTTTCTAGCAATGAGATGCAAATTATACAATCTGGTGATTTTTTTATGAGTTAAACACTCTAAAAATGGCATTCACAACTGAAATTGCACAATATAACAATGAACAGTAAAACCCAGCTTAACACTTTAAATTTTTAACTGTCTTTATTCACTATAATGTTAAATAGCAAATAAACACCATGAAAAGTGAGAGGGAGCATGGAATAAACAGCTTTATATTTTAGTAATTTTAATATACTCTTTTCCTACTCTTTGAATAAGGAGTTGTGCATTTCATTTGGGGGGGTGCAGGCAGTGCTGGGAATTGAACCCAGGACTTTGAGCATGTTAGGCGAGTGCCTACCACTAAGCCATATCCCCAGCCTCCAAGCATTTCATTTTTAACTGGGACCTCCAAATTATGAAACCAGTCTTGAATCTAAATTAAAAACACTTCAATCTAATTCTGAACTTCTGCCTTCTCTAGGTTACAAGTGAAAGGAAATGGGATATTTATTATGGCAGTAGTAGAATGTGGTTGTTAACCTCAGGGGCTTTAGAGATAAACAGTGGGTGTTTGTATCTTGACTCTGATCAAAGGTCTTATCATATTGGGAAGCTACTTAGCCCTTCTATAACTCTGATATATAAAATAGGAACAATAATACTTTCTTCCCTAAGATTTAAAGAAGAGTATATAAAGTACTTAGTAGAATGCCTGACTTTTTATAATAACACAATAAATCATGTTATAGTTGTAATTATTATTAGATTCCTATTTACATAAGAACTATTTTGAAACATATCCTGCCCCAAGGTTATCTGTTTAAGTCACTTCCCAGATTTCTGGAACCAGACAATTATTGTAGAAAAATGACTCCAAAAACATATAAGCTTCAATGATTTAAATAAGCTGTTACAGATTTGAAGCTAAATTTAGTGTCTTTTTTAGAGTTCTTTAAAATCATTAGAAGTCTTTCATTCAAATATCTTCTCTAAATAATAAATTATAAAAAGCATATAATTCAATTTATACAACACTATACCATTGTGCAAATTTAATTAAAAATTAAATAACATTTACTGATAGTTAATATAGGCATACATTTTGGAGAAAAATTTAAAAGCCATATTCTTTAAATGCATGTCCTTTAAAAGACATCTAAATGATTTGTCTGAAGATGTTCATAAAACAAAACCTTTTCACAGATAACATTCTTAAATTTACATTAAAACATGGATGCCAGGGCTGGTCATGGATGACCGCTCAAGTGGTAGTGTGCTCGCCTGGCATGCACAGGGTGCTGGGTTTGATCCTCAGCACCACATAAAATATAAAGATGTTGTGTCCACCGTAAACTAAAAAATAAATATTAAAAAATTCTCTCTCTCTCTCTCTCTCTCTCTCTCTCTCCTTCCCTTCCTCCCTCCCTCCCTCCCTCCCTCCCTCTCTCTCAAAAAAAAAAAAGCATGGATGAGCTGAGTAAAAATATGAGTAACTTAATTATCTACATCCATAACATCAACTATATATACATACATTTCACTATAAATAAAATTATGATCAAACTTGTCATTTTGGCTCTGAACAATTCTTTCTTTATATAAACCATTGTTTTTTATATTCAAATTTATTATCTATCAGTGATTTATGAAATAAAATTTGTAGGTTGTGACAAGGAATATTTTAAAATTAAAATTTAAAATAAGAGTCTCTCACTTATACTAAGGATTATTATTATTTTCAAAATTCTTGTTTCAGTTTTGCATACTGTATGTATGTATATCTATGTGTATGTGTTTGTGTGTTTGTGTTTACACATGCACATTTCTTCTGGGTCAAATTATTTTTTTTCTGCAGTTCATGAAACAAAATTGGAAATGATTCTAGGATTTCAGATGAGGTGAGTTAATAAAAGAGTAAACTTGCTTGAATTCCACATTTGTTCATTTTCAGTAGAACCCTTGGAATAAAGGACACTTAATTTAAAACATCTTTCACAAACTATTTACAGTTAAAGAGACAATAGAGAGGGTTATGCTTTAAGTTTCAACATTCTTAAATATGTTTTTATCATCATAGAATTTCATATAGAACATATGTGTGTGGCCAGTTTATATATGCCATATATCACAGCACATTTTCTAGGAAACTTGAAACTTTTTTGTGAAAGATATGAGTACAAGAAAGACACTCA